CAGTCTAATGTTTTAGAAAGGCTCAGCTAAAGCAGGGAACTGACTACTGGCAGAGGAGATCTCAGGCAGCATTTGGTTTGCAAGCTGTCACCGATTAAACTGTTTATCTTTGGACACAATGCCGACTTTCTTCGAGCAATTACAGCTGCGTTAAGACCGCCCTTCGGTTAGATGGGATGCCTCTTCAGACACAAAGTGAGACCGCTATCTGTGTGCGATGCTGGCGCGCCACCTCCTACCCAACCCTTGGTTTTCGGGCTGAAGGTGTTTGTTTGAATTTGAAATATCTGTTTACTTTTTTGTTTGTTCCCCTTCAGCTGCAAATGAATTGCTGCTGTTGTCCTGCAGGAACGCGGCCACCTCTCACGGGCTCTTCTCCATTGTGTGCAGTAATAAGGCTCTCGAGAGCGTGCATTTACTTGTGGCTGAACTGGAGAAGGGCCATGAAAGACCATTGTGCTGCACATTTAGTCTAATAAAAGAAAAACGTCTGTAGAGGCGCGCCGTGAGTGCAGCCACGCTCTGGCCCACGACAGCTCTGCTGTTTGTGAGAGATTTGATTGCAGGTAGGCGGGAAAGCAGCACAGTTGGACATTGTTTTTCATGTAATCAGCTCCTGCTTGGATTATATGAGTAACCTGCACCTACTCTATGGGCATCCATGGCCACTGCAGCAAAGTTAGAGGATTTTTCCGCTTGTCAAAAGCTGGGTTATGCACACAGCCAAGGTATAGGATAACATTTTAGTTCTCACAGTTTTCTGTCAGATTTTTTTTAAAATTTTCCTAAACAATTTTCTGATTAATTGTAATTATTTCAAAAGTCCCTAATGAACATAATGTTAAGAAAAGCCATTGGGGCTGCATTTTGGATGAATGCCTCAGAAAACCAAGAAGAGTCTAGCAGCACCTGGACCATCTCCAAAAGCTAACCCATCTGTGGGATTAGGTGCAGCCACCAGCACAGGACGGTCTGGAATAAAGAAGGGCAGCAAAGAAGCAGATTCTCCATCCAGTCATTTTTGCCTGCTTATCCAGGTCGCGAGGGTAGTAGCCTAAGCAGGGAGGCCCAGATTTCCCTCTTCCCAGCCACTTGGGCCAGTTCCTCTGGGGACCCTAAGGTGTTCCCTGGCCAGCCGAGAGACTTGAGCCCTTTTCAGATAGACATTCTGGAATATGTGTGGACAATTCAATCCAGTTTTTAACCGGAACTGTGCTTTCAGACACACCACTTTTGTACCGGAACGTGTCCCTTCGGCTGCGTTCACACAGCAGGGAAAAGTTCCAGATGTCCGGGGGGGGGGGGGGGGGGGGATCGGACTTATGTTAAACATAATTCTGCGCACACGAAGATGCATAAGAGACCTGGATGATGAAGCTCAATGGTTAAAGGAATCACTGAAGCGGTGTGAAGCACTCCATCACGCGTCTAGACGGTACCGTAGGAGGCGAGCTGCCATGGTTGCCACATGCTACAGCAGCGGGCTATCTAGGTGCGCACAGCGTCCCCCGGTCCCCTCCTCCCTGTCCGGAACTCGACCTCACCAGTCTGAAGCAGCCACCCTGTCCGTAACATGTCCGGACCTGCTACTAGGGGCGTTGTCCGGTTAAATTACGGAAAACGTTATCCGGATGTTTGTATTCAGACACAAAGGTCTTACGGACAGAGTCCGGAACATTCCATTTTTCATGGCCTGACTGAAGGGGGCTATAGTCTCTCCAGCATGTCCTGGGTCATCCTTTAGGCCTTCGCCTGGTTGGATGTGCCTGGAAAACCTCACCAGGGAGGCGTCCAGGGGGCATCCTGACCAGATGCCACAGCCACCTCAACTGGCTCCTCTCAATGTGGAGGAACAGCGCATCTACTCTGAGCCCCTGCCGTATGATCAAGCTTCTCGCCCTATCTCTAAGGGAGAGTCCAGCCACCCTGCATTCCGGCCGCTTGTGTCTGTGATTTACTTATTTCGGTCACTACCCAAACCCCGTGACAATAGGTGAGGGTGGGAATGTAGAAGCAGCTTCTCTCCAAGAATGAACATCAGGAGCAGACAGGTGTTTCACTGAAGGTCCAGGGAGAGGACTGCTGGGGACTGGATGTGAATCCCATTTCTGATTGGTTGGAGCATATGGGAAAATAAGTGTCTGGAAAAGGTCGGTGTTCCCATCAGTCCTGTGTGTGTGTGTGTGTGTGTGTGTGTGTGTGTGTGTGTGCGTGTGTGTGTGCGTGTGTGTGTGTGTGTTTGTGTGCGTGTGTGTGTGTGTGTGTGTGTGTGTGTGTGTGTGTGTGTGTGTGTGGTGGTTCTCAGCCAAGGGAGTGGATTCACTCACAGTTTAACCTCGGAACAGCCACAAATAAGAATGGTACGTAAACATCCTTCCAGTGAAACTCCTCCAGACATCCCAAAACAGGTCAGGACATTTAGTAACACAGCCACACGACCAGGAAAATACTCAAACATTAAACCCACTCAGAACTCGTGGTCAATCCTCAAGAGGCAGGGGGACGAACAAAAACCCACAAAGACTAGAACAACCGAATATTTGGACCAAAGACCGACGAGCAGCAGGTCAGGGTTTAGTGTAGAGGTCTTTAAAAGATGCAGCGCTCCAAATGTTGACTTTGCATAAACTTTATCAAATAATTCAAAGATGAGAAATACTTGTAATTATACTGTTGTATAGAAATATCTGACAAACAAATCCCAAAACATGGAACGGCCAGCTTTTTATTTAACAAATAAACCCGGTAATGTAAGAAATATCTCCACGGTCACATCAGGGACTCGTTTTAAAGCTCTTTTGTCCTCAGAGAGACCAAACTCTTACCTTTGGGGAGAGTTTAGAGTAAAGCAAACAGCTTTGAGCAGCTTCTGTCGAGTATTTACAGCAAAGCCTCTGTCTTCACATCAAAGGTGTTTCCTGTTCCAAATAAAACACTACATTGTTTTCCCAGCTGTACCTGAAATCAAAGAGGGGAAATGAAATTAAAGAAATCAAAGCAGAACTTCTCCTCAAAGAAATAATTAGCTGCTAAATCACCACAATCAAATCGGGATTCCTTATTCCTCTTCTGTTTAAGACCTTTTCCAGCTCAGAAGGACGTGCATGATTGGTAACACGGCCCCCGTTTTCATCCCTCCCCATGTAAGCTGTATTTTCTCTGAAATGACGGATTTCCTCCCACCTGCATTTCCTTTAACAATCGGCGTGGAGATACGAGTTTGTTGCCGTTTAAAGTGAATTCTACCCTTCGCTGATCACACACAGAATCAGTGATAATCATGTGAGCGGGTCTGGAATGCACAAATGTGAAAGCACGCTTGCAGGCGTTTGTTTTAATTGCGGCGCCATAATGATTAAACAGAATTTTTATGTGCTCTGACTGGGCTTCGGTAAGATGGATGGCCTGCAACGCTATCTGTTCTCAGAGTCAAGTCCTTGGCACCATAATGGTTCACTGCAGTTCAGATTAACATGGAGCTGGGGGCAGGATTTCTAGCCCCTCACTACATCACATATTTCTTCTGTGCAAAAAATAAAAAATAAAAATAAATTAATAGATCACAAAAGGTTAAAGGCTCAGTGTTCAGAAGGGTTTTCTTCTTCTACACCCAAGTTTAAAACTGAGATCGGTCTTTAACCCCCACAGACCCACGGTTGTAATATTACAACATCAGATTTAAGTCTACAAAAACAAACCTTCCCCATTTTTTTTTCTTTATAAAACCACATTTACATTGCTAATAGGTCCTATTGTTCAGTTCTGCAACACTATTGGCTGTTAAAATGTGTAAATAGGCCCGCTTATCCGGCCTCCTAGAACAACATGTGAAAGGTTGAAAAAAGATTCTGCAGTTGTTTTCTAAATTCGGGTTTCTGGGGGTTAATGAGACGATGGTGTCTTTGTTGTTTTGGCCAAACCTATAAAATAAAACACAATCTGGTGTAGTTTTGAAATATTTCATGAATTCTGTTAGTGTTGTGCATGCCTGGGTTACTTCCACATCAACTGCAGTCTGTCACGCGGAGATCAGGAGGTTAGGACCCAAGACGCAGAACCCAGGACGACACGAGGCAGGAGTGGTGATTAAGGATGACAAAAATAAATTAATAAATAAAAATCCAAAAGGGCAGGAAGCCAAAATCTTATAACAAAACGCTGCAAGGACAAAACCCAAAGCTCTCTTTGTGAGCAGAGAACTAGAGACCAAGAGGGGGGACAAAACAACGCTGACAAACTACAATGGACCAACAAACACTGAGGGACAACACAGGGTTTTTAACACAGAGGGGAGCATTCAGGGGAACAGGTGACGGGTGTGAGGAGTGAGGTCTGGAGGGAAGACAGGTGCCATTAATAAACTAAACGGGGAAAAAACTTAAGCAGAGGGGAAGATAAACCATAACCAATAAAACACTAAATAACTAAACCTAAAGACTAAGGGCAAAGACAAACAACTAATGACTAGAGGGGTGAGGAGGACTAATACAAACCAATAAGAACTACACGGGAGTGACTAGGAGGACACACGAGGGAGCTGGAGAACACAAGGAGACACATGAGGGGAACGCAGAAGACGAACTGGACGGCGCTGGGGACCAAGGACAGAACATGACACAGACCAAACATAAACGAGTTTTGACATGGTGATGACTAGATGTTCATCCAGCAATCACTGACTTTCATTCAAATCCATTCAGTGGTTAATCATTCCTGTTAACGAACATTCTGGGCTCAGAGTGTGCGGACGTCTCCGAGCTACTATGACAACAAAAGTCCAATGTTTCTAATAATAGTTTTTTTGTTTGAAGTTGAGTGGCATTAGCCGCCATGTTGACTGGGGTCGACTGGGGTTCACTCAATTTTAATTTCATGTTTTGGACACAACAAGTCACATTTTCCAGCTCGGACTGCATCTATTGTCCCAGTTCTGACTGATTACTCTTTTATTTGATAACTGACTTGTTAATTTTTCCCCTTTCTAACTTGCTTTGTGCTAGGTGGAAACTGAATGCAACAGAAATCATTCCCAAAGCTGGATCTCACTACAGCCTTTCTGGAGGCAACCTCCGAATCAGCCGTCTGAACAAAGACCAAGATGCTGGAACGTATCAGTGCCTCGCCTCCAACTCTTTTGGGACCATCGTCAGCCGAGAGGCCAGCCTAACCTTTGCTTGTGAGTCCTTTTTTTTTTCTTTCTTTCTTTTTGTGGGCAATCTTCCATAGCGTCTGAGCTTCAGTAGTCAAAAAGGAAGAGGCAGCAGACACCAATAAAAGATGGCAGATGGAACCAAGAAAAACACCACGAATTGTTCTCGATGACACGATCAGCAAGAGGGAGGGCTTCCCAGGGGTGTCATTAGCTCTCTGTGTGTGCTGAATTGGGTTTACACTAGGCACAGCTGCAGATCAAACATCAGCCTACAGAAGGATGTGAAGCATGAGAAAAGTTGTGGTAATTAGAAGGCCTGCCACTGGTGATGCTGGCTCACACCAAGAAGGCTTTTCTTTATTTGGATTCTTTTCACTAAAGCCGCCGTTTTTATCCCACCAGCGAATGCTACCGTTGTGTCCATGGGCACGACACTTGCCTTGCCTGCTGGTGATGGTCGGAGGGACCGGTGTTCAGCAGTCTTGCCCCTGTCGGTGCGCCCCAGCTGCTGACCAACTGCATGAAATAAACTGTTTAACAGAGAACTGTAGGTTCCACGCTCTGGCTGAACGCTGTCTTTGGGTTCTTACCTGTCTAAACAGGTACAGTGCAGGTTTTTGAGAATCTGACTCCTGTAGCATTTGTAGTAATTAAAAAAAAATCTGTGGGGTTCCTTTCATATGCAGATATAATATTTATTCTGACCCTAGAGACAAAACCCTCAATAAAGTCATGGTTGATTGCTGAACTTGCACATCTTTAAAAAAATAAATTTCACACACAAAGATAATAAAGTTTGTGTCCACGGATGACTGTGAGCTGATCTCTTTCGTGCTCTGCAGCCTGAAGACCTTTTTCCTATTTAAAGACCCCCCCCCCACACACACACACACACACACACAATGTGCTAACAAGCTGTCACATGACTATCAGTCTGCAGCAGACATAAGTGGTTGTTGTATATGTTCAGCTCCCGTCACACCTGTGAGGATATAATGAAGCCACGCCCCCCTACATTCTGCTCATATCTCATCTGCAGATGTGATGCCAGGTCTTTGACAGCTGGAGAATCTCTCTTTTCCTATATTTCCAGTCTCCCAGCAACCAGTGCCAAACTTAGGCATGATTTGTGTGTGTGTGTGTGTGTGTGTGTGTGTGTGTGCCCTTCTCTCCTGTTCTGCACCCTACCCCCATGACAAGTGACACACACACACACACACACACACACACACACACACACACACACACACACACACACACACACACACACACACACACACACACACACACACACACACACACACACACACACACACACACACCTTCCTAAGTCGGGCATCATTATTTGTACCTGCAAGTTCGCCATGAAGCAAAAAGAAGGAAAAAGGTAAATTTTTGATATCAGACATTTCATTTTTCCAGAAACAAAATCCCTGAAAGTAGTGCTTCAATGATATTGTAGTAATATGACAGTACATTATACTAACACGAGTGTATACTGTTGAAAAGATAGCGTTATCACATGAAGACATTGTCGTTTTTTGGGTTGTTTTTTCTGCCTGCCTGACTGGCAGCTCTATGCTGGTGTAGTTTATGAGGAACAATGCTGCTTTGATCATTTTGCTTTTTTGTGATTTGTAACTTTACGCTTTGCTGACAGTTAGAGGTTCAATAATAAAGTACATGTACTAGTATTTAGCAATATATTTTTCTTCCATCTAATTTTGTGAGATCAGTCTTCTTTTCAAGTAAAAACAGAACTTATGTCAACAGAAAGCTGAGGATGGAGTGTATGATCCACGTAAGGGTTCACAAACCAGCAGTAGTATTGTCTTTAAATCTCAGCATTGATGCTAAATTATGACTCCAACCATAACTGGGCCATATACTTGATCAGGAGATTGATTAGCATGAATAATATGTTATGGAAAACACCAGAAAAAAATCATCAGATGCAAAATCAGCACTCTTCTGTATCCAGTGGACCTACTGATGAATCACTTGTCTAATTGTGATCATTTTAATTGACAGCCTCTGACTTCATGTTCCTAAAGCACTGCGGGGTCGGTAATCCTTCACTGCAAAGTATTGGGCAGTTATTGGTCACAAGAACCAAAGGTTATCTCCATCAATGAGCGATCACTTGTTCAGATCAGATTCTGACGTTCGGGGATAAGGCCAGTGTCTTGTCTCGGGCCATTTGTTTGTTTCTCCGGAGCAGCGGGAAGTCAATCCATGATGGGATTGTGCTGGTGGATTTCATCTGTGATAGGATGACAGTTCCATCAATTGCTGGGCTCTGACCTTACCGGTCTTCAGCTGCTGTCACAGAGGAGTGGGGGTGTATGACTGAGTGTCATCTATCTCCTTTATTACTCCTGGTATAGCTTAATTAACTCCACTAGTGATTGAATAGTGAGGGGCTCAAGCGAATAATTTAAAGGGCAACTGGCAGGACTGGGATGTTATGGATATATTTATTGGGATTTGTAGGGACATCCTACAACAGAACAAAACTTGAGAGTGTTTTTGACGGCTTTGACATGGCAGCATCTGAACGTGTGCTTTTCATGTAAGGATAGGTACTTTCATGTAGGATTACGTAACAGGTAAACAAATGTCTTACAAGACACATGTTGCTGCCAAATCGGAGTCAGTCAGTGCCGTAAGTTGTTGTTTTTGCATCATCCATCGCCATCTTTCTTGCTTGCTGCCCCCCAGTAACATCCAGGACAGCTCTCTCTAGCTACTGGACATTAGCCATTAGCCACCCCAGCTAATCATCCTTTGCAAACACAAAATGACTTTCACTTGATTAATTTACATACAGAGGTATAGTTTTGTGTTCACATGGCAAGGACTAACAGGCTTCTCATAACACTGGTCAGACCCTCCGTGACCTCACCCATAATGTTGTGAGGAGCTGAACAGAAGTCCATGAGAGCTCCTCCTGCTCCCCTTTCTCCCTTGGTTTCTGCTGCCTGAGCCATTCACCTGGGATCTTTGTTTCATCCTGAATCATTAGTCCTTGAACCCTAACCCTTATTGGTCATGTTGGGCATGGCAATCCTAGCAAGCCATAAAGTTTGTCCCCATTTAGTTTTTCAGAAAACCAGGTTCTGAATTCGGCAATGATCTGCTGCTATAACATGATTTTGTTTTTCTGTTTGACCATATCATCTCCCACAAGGTTGCCCGTGGTGCTCCAGCTTTTTCTCTTTTGCAGACATTAGTTCCTGCCCAGATTTCAGTCAGGTTCTGTTCTGGACTCCTTACCACTGGAGTGATTTTATGTGTTTCTTTTACATAAATCTGCGGCTGTTTGTGACCACTGTTCTGTTTTATGACCAGTCTGTTCCACACCACTGTTTCAAATCTGACTCTAGAAAACTGTGACTTATGAATGAGTTCTTGGCAGATGAATTGGCTGAAAGGAGCCCAAATCATCAGCCCTCTCCCGCCATGCCTGTTTGGTTGTCTCAAACATGGAGCAGTGCACTTTGGGTAAAAACATTTATTTATTCTCGTTTGTCCAAAGGTCAAGAGGGGCTGTAGTTCATGAATCTTTCCTGCTGCCATGTTCTTTTTAAAGAGAATATGTTTACTTATTGAGTGTGAAGCAGCTGGGATGAGAATCAGCTCCTCTAAATCTGAAACCATGGTCTTGAATTGGAAAAGAGTAGAATGTCTTCTCCAGATCAGGGATGAGGTCCTGCCGCGAGTGGAGGAGTTTAGGTATCTCAGGGTCTTGCTCACAATTGAGAGAAAGATGGAGCATGAGATCGATAGGCAGGCTGGTGCTGCTTCTGCAGGGGTGTGGTTGTTGTACTGATGTGTCATGGTGAAAAGAGCTTATCTGGAAGGCGAAGCTCTGAATTTACCGGTCGATGTACGGTCCTACCCTCACTTACGATCACGAGGTTTGGGTAGTGACCGAAAAAACGAGGTCACTGATAAAAGTGGCCAAAATGAGTTTTCTCTGCAGGGTGTCTAGAGATAGGGTGAGAAGCTTGATCTTCCCAGAGGGGCTCGAAGTAGACCCGCTGCTCCTCCACGTTGAGAGGAGCCAGTTGAGGTGGGTCGGGCATCTGGTCAGGATGCCTCATGGACGCCTCCCTGTTGAGGTTTTCCAGGCTCGTCCAACTGGGAGAAGACCTAAAGGAAGACCCAGGACACGCTGGAGGGTCTACTTCTCTCGGCTGGCCAAGGAACACCTTGGGATTGCCCTCGAAGGAGATGCTCCATGTAGCTGGGGAGAGGGAAGTTTAGGCCTCTCTGCTTTGGTTGCTGCCCCCGCGACCCGACCCCAGATATGCTGCTGAAAATGGATGGATGGACATTTATTTGTACAATGTTTTTCCAAATGTGCAGTTGATAACTTTAACCGTACCCTGAGGCCTAAATGAGGAGGTCTTGGGCTGCTCACCATTTCTCTAATCATCACACCTGTCTGAACCTAGGGAAGAACTTATTGATGGGAAAACTGTCAGTTCTCGTAAATATTTTCCTCGTGAGAATTTTTTTTAAATCTAAAAAATGATTGCTTCATATATTTCAACCCCTTAACACTTGAATTTGTTTTCAACTATAATTTTTTTATACTTCATACTGGTACAGGCTCCAGTGTAACAGTGGATTTTCTTTCAGGTACATGCAGCATTTTGGTTGCATTTGGAGCGAATGCAGGATTGATGCAAATTTGCATCAAATTTGAGGGGTTAAATGACCTTTCACCTTTTTCCTAACTGATGGGCAGGGACAATGTCTTCGCTAAGTCTGCAGCTGATGTTAATCCTCCTTATGTTAACACACTCTTATATGCTCCAGACCAGCAAATGAACAGTGGTCCGTCCCTACCAGATGAGCTCACACTGATGGTGATCAGTTAATCAATACCTCTGATCAGCAGCGCATGGGTGCAACTTTTTCATTTCAACCGTTGAACGACAGCATTTACCTTACGTTTAATAAATAACGACATGGTTGAATCTTTTGTGTGCTTTTTGGTCATTTGAGGTTAGAGT